ATCCATAATAAAACGTGCCTCACACGGCTCCGGGGGGTGAATAAAGGCCTCCTGTAGCGAATCCATGCATTTTTGTCAGAAAATATCCATATTTCAAATGTCATAAACACTTTTCTATCACTTCCGGTATCTCTGTCATACGCGGAAGCCGTTCCGGCGGATGACGTAAGACATCGGCGTTGCGTGATTAGTGACGAGCGCGGAAAGAGAACAAAACAAAACGCTGGTCACGAATTAGAAGCACAAAACGAGTATTTGTAAAATACGCATACGTCTTATGTCATCCGCTGGAATGCTTCTGCATACGACAGTCAGCAGAAGTGAGAGAAAAGTGTTTATTACATTTGAAATATGGATATTTTTCTTACAAAAATGCATGGATTTGCTACAGGAGGCCTTTATTCACCACCCTGAGCCGTGTGAGGCACGTTTTATTATGGATGCGCGCGCTTTATTTAACGTGTTTTGGACTGTTAAACAGAAACACCTGCCCACTACAATGATAGAGCTTAGAAGAGCCAGGACAATTTTTAATAAAACTCCGATTGGATTCATCTGAAAGAAGAAAATCATATACACCTAGGATGCCTCGAGTAAAACCTAACCCTTTAACAATTTTTTGAACCTTTTTGTCTACACTCTAAAAAATAATTCAGTGGTTTTGTAAATATCACAATAATAAATAACTTATCTAACTTAACAAAATCTCTGAATATCACTAAAGAGATTGTCTGAGTTGGACATACCAAAATAAATGACTAAATTTCCAACATTTAACTTTGTCTAAAATTTTGTCTATTATTTAAGTGTTTTTTTTTCACAAAAAGAAATAAGTATTTGACTACAAATTAGATTTTTGACTCAATATTTTTGTTAAATTTCAATCAAAATATTTGAGAATCAGTGGTGTAATGTAACGAAGTAATAATACTTTGTTACAGTACTTAAGTATTTTTTGGGAGTATCTGTACTTTACTTGAGTTTTTATATTTCAGCCAACTTTTACTTTTACTCAGGGACGGACTGGGAGTAAAAAACGGCCCTGGATTTTCTCCCAAATAGGCCCACCACAACTACAAGAAGTCGCTATTATCTCACAATATTACAGCAATCCTATCGCATTTATGGCAAATAACATCACAAAACCCATGGTGACCCTGCTGACAAAAACAATAGAAACCATCACAGAAATTCGAATGATTTCCACTACAAATACCATTACAGACATTACAAACCATCAACTTTTAACCATTAAAACCATTAAATAATGGTTTCCCAAAGTGTGTTTTGGGACATATTACATTAGGATTTAGTGGTTTTAACAAAAGCCACCAGCAGAAGGCGACCAATTACCAGTAGAGACCAACAGGCACCATTACAGTTTCCACCATCACAGAAATTCTAATGATTTCCACTACAAATACCATTACAAATATTACAAACCATCAACTTTTAACCATTAAAACCATTAAATAATGGTTTCCTGAAGTGTGTTTTGGGACATATTACATTAGGATTTAGTGGTTTTAACAAAAGCCACCAACAGAAGGCGACCAATTACCAGTAGAGACCAACAGTTTCCATTAAAACCAATACAATTTTCATTATAAGCAGTAAAACTATTACAAATTATGTGATGGTTTCTATTTTTTTTTCAGCAAGGGATTGAAATAAATGTATTATTGTAACTAAAATACTTGAAATCTACATAAAAAGAGCAGAATGCAAAATGTATAATATGACAATGATAAACATAAACCTAGAATCTAGAAACCTGAAACAACAGAATTCGTCCATTTGAGTATTCATATGTCTGTCTGTCTGTCTCTGTGTGTGTGTGTGTCATGTTAATCAGACTAATCATATTATAGGCTACTTAAAGGCACAATATGTGATTTTCGCTGCTAGAGGGCGCGTATTCAAAATAAATAAAGAGGCAAAGGCGTAGATAGATGACACCGTGACTGAGTGTGGAATCATGGGAGTTGTTGTCTTCATCCCCACAGCCGATGCAATCTGACGAGACTCAGGCAGAAATCATGTTCATGGATGAGCTAATGATTTATTAACGTAGTAGAATGAAGCAGGGTGAGGCTGAAAGCCGTCGAAGCGAAACGAGGCTGCTGAACGAGCGTGACACACGGCTCGAAAGCAGCAGAGCTTTTATTATGCCACAGTCGACCGCTTCCGCTCCTTCCGGTCGTGTGTATGTGCGGAAAAAAAAGCAGCGCTGTTTTATCATACTAGATACATTTGAAAGTTCTGTTATAATGCTACTCTGTGCGGTCGTCATGGATGAGCTAATGTATTAATGATTTATTAACGTAGTAGAATGAAGCAGGGTGAGGCTGAAAGCCGTCGAAGCGAAACGAGGCTGCTGAACGAGCGTGACACACGGCTCGAAAGCAGCAGAGCTTTTATTATGCCACAGTCGACCGCTTCCGCTCCTTCCGGTCGTGCGTATGTGGGGTAAAGCAGCGCTGTTTTATCATACTACATACATTTGAAAGTTCTGTTATGATGCTACTCTGTGCGGTCGTCACCGGTCTATTAAAACGCATAATATATTACACAATGACAATGGACACGGTCTGTGTCACTAGTTAAAATTGCTTATTTCTCTGGATTTAAAAATTCTTACACAAGTCAGCAAAATATATAACACTGTTCTAGTGGTTTTTGGATATTTTAATAAAAAAATCTTTCATATTGTGCCTTTAATTTACTCTATTTTCTAACTCAGTATCTCTCAAATGTAACCCGCTGTAGAATCGCTGTTGTCTCTTTATGAATGAATTATGAATGAATGGAATATTCATGTCAGACAATGTGGAGTAAAAAAATAGCAGTGAATGTTTGGACTAGGGGTGTCCTGAGATTTTACTATAGTGCTATAGGCTACATGCTCTGTATAGTGAGATTGGCGTGCAAAGGTGACCTGATGTAACTGTTTGCTTTTTTTCTTTTTTCTTTTAGCTTCTATTCATTACTTACTACCAAATAGTCAGAAGTCAGAAGAACACGGACTGCAGGAAAGCAGGTTTGACTTCTATCAGCATTCTATCAGCTATCATTGACCCTGCTCTCTAGAGATTGGCAATTAAACACATATCGTCAGATAGTTAATTACATATTTTAGTAGTGTGGAAGTAGTTCAGCTCTTTTCAAATTATTGTAATCCTCTGACTAATGTATAATAGATAATAATGCCCTTTGATTAACAGTAATAGATTGAATAAATTTCATGTCTTATGCATGCATTGTAAGCTTTATTGAAAATAAACCCAGAAAAAAGTGTAAAGGTGATTTTTATATTTTATTTCATTAAATGCATAGGGCTATATATTTCGTTCGATTAATCCGATTTTGTATAACTTTTTTAATTTATCACACCATATCAAAGATAGTACAGAGGTGATGCAAGCTATATGAGTTGAGTAAATATTCAGTGAATATAAAGTAATTCATTTCAAAACGTTAATTTTGTGTAGACCATAAATATATTGCAATTACCGGTAGTATATCATTTTAAATTCATCACACCAAATCAAAGACAGTACAGAGGTAATACAACTATATGCTTGTAAAGCACATCATACTGTATCTTTGCTGCAGCTGCAGAATGTGTAGAGCTGCTGGATTCAGTGCAGCAGGATGAAGGAGAGCAGAGAACAGCAGAGGAACAGGAAGCTCTGAGTGACACTCTGAGCACCGTTACACAGGTTCCCCGAACAGCATGAGACATCATTCACAGTAGGAATCAAGTTTGGGACATCACAAATAGATTTAGAGGCACAACCTTTAACAGCCACTGGTTGACCTCCGAAACTCGCTGAAGAAAAGATTAAAGAAGAAAACAGTTTGAGTCGAGTTGGCCACTGGTATATGTGATGTGTGTAAGATAATGAACCTTCTTTCTTTTCCAGATTCTCACCTGTTGCATTAAAGCAGCGGTCTTCAGTCCCTGAACAGCTCACTGTGTTTAAGCAGCTCTGTCCATCACAAGAGTAACACGTCTTTCCATTGGGAGCGTTAGTGCTGGGATCTACAGGAGGGAAAATAGGTCCTGGTCTTATTGAGCACACAACATTGTAGGTCCTCATTGTAAAACTTTTTTGTCTTCCCGGTCTTTCATGAAAAAGTAACAATTCGCTCTGCCTGTAAAACATTCGTTTTTGTTTGACGTCACATTCCTAATAGAAAATAAAGTTCCATCCGATTTTTTCTTGTTAAATGTTCTATAAACTGCTCTATTACAGTAAAGTACAATACCTGGAGCATCTTGGGCATTACAGAGATCAGTGTTACAGCACAGAGAAGAGCCTTTTCCAATGCCAAGGTTGATGGATCCACTTGGACAGACAGCTGGAGCACAACTTTTAACCTTCACTGTAGTACTGTTGACTGAAAACACACGAGTGATTTGCCAACATAGAATGTGTTTCCAATAGTGTATCTAAAGTATTTTTTAGAGATCTAACAATGAGGTCCAAAGGTGTAAGACCACTAGAAAATATGCTTTACATTTAGTGTTTTTCTCATTTCACACTCATTTTTAAATTTCAAATTCTATTATCATAATGATTTCCGTAATATATGTAGAACATTCTAAGCGTGCAATTGTAAATTCTGTCCAGAAAAGAAGTCAGTCAGCTATGAGTACATTACACTGGACTTACCAGTAATTGTTGCACCGAAGCAGTTGGTAGATTCAGTGGGACACTGACTCGTCTGGTCACAAGAACCCAACACACTTATGCAGTCATAACAGCTGAGAGAGTGCCCTTTAGTAATTAAAAAGAGAGGCGGTGAGAGAGAGACATCTTATTTGTACCCAGTAACTTACAGAAACTATTTGTTTTGTACCTCCGGTAAATAGAATGAACAGAAGAAAAACTGAGATTTGCAGATCCATCTTTGATCAGGAGGTGAATGAGATAACGCGTCTGTTTCAGCGCTCATTTTATAGCTCGTCAGATGGGGAAATGGGGAAATTTCACCCAAAAAATGAGCATTCTCTCATTTTCTCACCCTTATGAAATTACAAACCTGTATGACTTATATACTTTCTTTTGCGTTCCATGCATTTACATGCAAAGTGGTCCAATGTTGTTCATACAGGTCGAACCCGTTTAGGTTTTGGTTTAGTTTTTTTCACAAGTTATAGTTTAATTCAATTTTGTATTTCCTCAATCTTGACTGTAGACTTAATCTCAATACACAAATGTTTATGGTATGACCAACTTTAACATTATTGTCGAAACCATGTAGGCCAGTAATAGTTCCCATTATCTTTCACTCACAGAGATTTGTTTGTCTTGAAATTTACAAATAGATTTAGAGGCACAACCTTTAACAGCCACTGGTTGACCTCCGAAACTCGCTGAAGAAAAGATTAAAGAAGAAAACAGTTTGAGTCGAGTTGGCCACTGGTATATGTGATGTGTGTAAGATAATGAACCTTCTTTCTTTTCCAGATTCTCACCTGTTGCATTAAAGCAGCGGTCTTCAGTCCCTGAACAGCTCACTGTGTTTAAGCAGCTCTGTCCATCACAAGAGTAACACGTCTTTCCATTGGGAGCGTTAGTGCTGGGATCTACAGGAGGGAAAATAGGTCCTGGTCTTATTGAGCACACAACATTGTAGGTCCTCATTGTAAAACTTTTTTGTCTTCCCGGTCTTTCATGAAAAAGTAACAATTCGCTCTGCCTGTAAAACATTCGTTTTTGTTTGACGTCACATTCCTAATAGAAAATAAAGTTCCATCCGATTTTTTCTTGTTAAATGTTCTATAAACTGCTCTATTACAGTAAAGTACAATACCTGGAGCATCTTGGGCATTACAGAGATCAGTGTTACAGCACAGAGAAGAGCCTTTTCCAATGCCAAGGTTGATGGATCCACTTGGACAGACAGCTGGAGCACAACTTTTAACCTTCACTGTAGTACTGTTGACTGAAAACACACGAGTGATTTGCCAACATAGAATGTGTTTCCAATAGTGTATCTAAAGTATTTTTTAGAGATCTAACAATGAGGTCCAAAGGTGTAAGACCACTAGAAAATATGCTTTACATTTAGTGTTTTTCTCATTTCACACTCATTTTTAAATTTCAAATTCTATTATCATAATGATTTCCGTAATATATGTAGAACATTCTAAGCGTGCAATTGTAAATTCTGTCCAGAAAAGAAGTCAGTCAGCTATGAGTACATTACACTGGACTTACCAGTAATTGTTGCACCGAAGCAGTTGGTAGATTCAGTGGGACACTGACTCGTCTGGTCACAAGAACCCAACACACTTATGCAGTCATAACAGCTGAGAGAGTGCCCTTTAGTAATTAAAAAGAGAGGCGGTGAGAGAGAGACATCTTATTTGTACCCAGTAACTTACAGAAACTATTTGTTTTGTACCTCCGGTAAATAGAATGAACAGAAGAAAAACTGAGATTTGCAGATCCATCTTTGATCAGGAGGTGAATGAGATAACGTGTCTGTTTCAGCGCTCATTTTATAGCTCATCAGATGGGGAAATGGAGAAATTTCACCCAAAAATGAGCATTCTCTCATTTTCTCACCCTTATGAAATTACAAACCTGTATGACTTATATACTTTTGCGTTCCATGCATTTACATGCAAAGTGGTCCAATGTTGTTCATACAGGTCGAACCCGTTTAGGTTTTGGTTTAGTTTTTTTCACAAGTTATAGTTTAATTCAATTTTGTATTTCCTCAATCTTGACTGTAGACTTAATCTCAATACACAAATGTTTATGGTATGACCAACTTTAACATTATTGTCGAAACCATGTAGGCCAGTAATAGTTCCCATTATCTTTCACTCACAGAGATTTGTTTGTCTTGAAATTTGAACGAAACCCATTAAATGACAAAAATTATTAAGGAATTAGAATTTAGGAGGAATTAGTAGGAAACAGCATGGGTGTTTTTAAAGTCATTTATTGTCATGAAATTTTTTCTTAAAGGTAATCCACATGAAAACTCAACTTAAATTTGACACAAGACCAAAGAACAAATCAGACTGTCATTTAAGAGTAAGTCTACTATGAAATTAATACAATTTTTGAGCACTTCACTAAAATTTGTGTGTAAACGAACATCACCCTTGTGGAAAAGAAGTACACAATTTCAAAAAGAGTACTTATTATGTAAATAACATACTTTCAAAATAAAGTACTGTACAAACAGAATGTATTTTTGGTTTTGCATGTAAACTGGAATCAAATGCATATTTATGATATTTTAAATGTATATTAAATGCAATTAGTTAAACTTTATAGTGTTTTTTGACCCACTTAAGCAGGACTTAAGTATGTCTTATAATATGTAATTTCATACCTTTATTGTATTTCAAATATGGTCAAAGTGTACTGCTGAATGTGCTATAGTGCAAAGGTTTAGATGTGTTAAACCATGGTAAGAAATAATGCCATTAATAGTACATCTCCTAAATATGTGATTAAGTGACTTCAAATAAACCCGTTAGCGTTCCACTGTACTTCATGACATACAACAACTCAAAAAAAAAAAAAAAAGAAGCTATACTTGTCACATATCTTTGGAAAGCTGAGATTCATGTAATTTGAATGATGCATTTTAAGATAAAATCAACACAGCAGGTACAATCAGTGTCTTTATCAGTCCGCCAACAAGGCTTCATGCTGTGATCCCATTGTGTCAGCTAATCGCTCCCAGCTATATTGCTATAGTCATCTGCAGGCATCTGTTTACAAAAAAATGTAGGCAGAAAGTTTTTTTTTCTCTTTTTTTCAGTGTTCTAAAAGTTCTATTGAAATTTGTATTGCTCAGTACCAGTAAGACAGTGATTCTGAGGTTTGTTCTGTTCTGAGCAAGCCTCAGAGTGTCACCTTTCAAAAGACACCAAAACCATGCATATACTCCAAGTGGTTTAAGAACAGCATGCAATTTACTTTGGGTAAATTTTACAGGAATGCTAAGGGGTTAAACACATACTGTACTTCCTACTTCCTTGTTACTGTCAAGAATGTCATGTAGAAAAGTCACATTCTTGTAGATCAGTTTCAAAAAAAAAAAAAATGCTTACGGAAGTCAACAATAATTTGAACCAGGCACATAACACTGATAAAAATGATTTTGTGGTGAAGTAAAGGCTACTACGGAAAAACAAATGTAATTTCTACATTAAATAATTTAGTTCAGACAAGAATAAAAAAAGAGTAAATTCTATTATAAGTACTTATAAGTACTTGGAATTGTTTGTTATTGTCACGATCTCTAGCTGAAGTGCCCACAAGCTCCACTAGAGGGCACGCCATCCTGTACCTTTGCCATTCACCCCAGACTGTTGTCACTCCCTCACTACTACATTCCCCATAATCCTTTGCCTGGACTCATTATCTCTGATTGCATTCACATGTGTCTTATCTCATCTGTCTCACCCTATTTAAAGCCTGGTTTGTTACCTTGTTTCTGATCGTTTGCTGCCTGTCTTGACCTTCGCCTGTTTATTTGATTACTCTTTTGTCTCTTCCTGGATTATACCTGTTTGCTGTTGTTTGACCCTGCCTGTTTTGACCATTCTGTTAAATAAAGCCTGCACTTGGATCCTGTCGCGGCCAAGGAGGCTGACTGTAAACTCTCTGACTGTCCTGTCACGGCCATGGAGGCTGTCTGTGAACTTTCAGCCTGTCCTGTCACGGCCAAGGAGGCCATCTTCAAGCTCTTTGCCTGTCCAGCCACGGCCAAAGAGGCCTACTGTGAACTCTCTGCCTGTCCTGTTTCGGCCAAAGAGGCCGCTGATAACCTCTCTGTGCTCTGTATTCCAGTCCAGCCTGATCTGCTGTGGTGGTTCCCTGCTCCATCAACTACACTCTGGTGGTCATCTGCTCCACCATGGGGATCTTCGGTCCCGTCTGCTCTGCTGTGGTGGTTGTCTGCTCCGCCGTGGGGATCTTCAGTCCTGTCTGCTCTGCCCTGGTGGTCTTCTGCTCCGCCCTGGTGGTCCTCGGCTCCGCCCTGGCACCCTGCTCTGCCGGCTCCGACCTGTACCTGGCCCTCCATCCCTCCCCCTGTTCCGCCTCCGCTCCACCTCCCTCCTGGACTCATTTCTGTTTTCATTTAGGAGCGTCTGGAAGCCACTCCTTAAGGGGGATGGGGGGTTGGGTCTCTAGCTGGAGTGCCCACAAGCTCCACTAGAGGGCACTCCATCCTGTACCTTTGCCATTCACCCCAGACTGTTGTCACTCCCTCACTACTACATTTCCCATAATCCTTTGCCTGGACTCATTATCTCTGATTGCATTCACATGTGTCTTGTCATCTCATCAGTCACACACACACACACTATAAAAGATGCACACACACTCAAACAGATTGCTGTTGATTGTTAGCCTGTTATGTTTTCTAGTTTATGCCTTGCCTTGCCTTGGTGTTTTGTTCTTGGTCTGTTTACCTGGTTTGTGATCGTTTGCTGCCTGCCCCAGCCTTTGCCTGTTCTGTGGATTACGCTTTTGGATTACCTTGGATGTACTGTTTTTTGCTGGTGTTTTGACCCTGCCTGTCTGACTATGCTCTTAATAAAAGCTGCAGATGGATCCTCAACTCTGTTGTAGTGATGCAAAGTCCGATTCATTTCCATGAACCGGCTCTTTTCGGACAGATCGGCTCATTGAACCAGTTCAAAAAGCCGATTCATCGGTTCCTGACGTCATCAAGCAATAATGTCTCTACGCATTTCTTTTCTAACTCAGTGCCATGTCGTATCAATGAAAAATTCAAATAAGTCATTTGTGTCAACGCATATTGAAACATTCAAAAATAAAGTTATTTGTGTGAAAGCATATTGCTGATTATTGCCATATATTTCACTTAAGTTAATGGTGTTTGTGGTCAGTTTCATTCGCGAATCCTCAGATACGACTGACTGAACAATATTGACTAGCCTACAACTTGGATAAGATTCCTAAAAGTTTCACACCTACAGCACACATTACAGACATTGATGCACAAACGCGGATATGTTCTACAT